TCCCTACAGCCTGGCGGTGCCTGATGCACCCCCATCTGGCTGCGTGGACGTAGGGTGAGGGTGGTAGCCCAGCAACACACAGAGGCATCTGCAGAGTTGGAATGGAAGCGTTCAAGGTGTTTCCAATTTTTATTTTGTACAAATCATGTAGTCTTTTTATTAAATAAAATTTGTATTCAAATGATTCTTACTGTTTTTAATGTTGAGCAGGTATTAAATTATAGGTTCTGATTTAAATCATAACTAGACTTGAGTGGGCTGAATAAGCCACTTCACTAACTTGAGGTTGGTTCAAAGGAGTAGAAAATAGTCTTGTTTTGATCTAGTGGACTATTGCTTTTCTGATCTTTATTTGACTTCCTTTTGAATCTCTGTGATATCTACTAGGTGAGCCTTTAAACACAACTCCAAATAATTATGCAAAGGATTGACAGTTGGAGAGCGTAGATAGGATGGTGCATCTGTACAGTAGGAGACCCCAGAGCCACTAAAATGGTGATGCAGATCATGGTAAGTGGTGTTTAAAAAGCAGGTTGCCTTAAGTTGGATCCCATTTTGTGTGTCTAGACATAAGAGCTGCACGTATGCACACATTCAGCCCAGGCCTGTTCAATGTCAGTAGACACGTGAACACACGTGGACATGCAGAGACCAGGCGTTGTGTGAGATGCATGTCCTGCCCGGGGCATCCTGCTGTCAGACGTTGGGCACTGTCCTCCACCACGCCCAGTTCTGAGCATACTGTATATTTAATCCACTCATCCCCCACAAGGACTCAGAGGAACGTATTGTCCTCTTCCCCGATTTACCAGGTCACACGTCTACAAGTGGTGGAGATACGGTTTGAACCCTGGTTGTCTGGCTCTGGTGTCTAGACACACACTGCATTCGTCATATATTGACACATGCTTATGTTCCCACAGGAAAGGACCACAGCAACATAAACAGAATTGTCAGTATGAGCATATCTGGGTGGTGGGTGTTTGAGAGATTGTTTACCTTTTCTTTTTTACTTACCTGTATTTTAAATCCTGTACAGAGAAGATGTACATTTTTTTAAGGGAGGAAGAAAGGAAAAATTTCTGATGCTAATCTACAACATCTTTTACGGGAGTGTGTTTTTCTCTGTCTCCTAGACATCAGTGATGACTGTCTGGGATTCAACAGGGAGTTTGGAAACTCTGGTTGAGCCACTACAGGAGGCAAGTATGAGTTGAGACAGACTAGAACTTAACTCAGGACAGTCTTCCATAGCATCTTCTGCTGGATGTCCTGCATCCTTTGGATATTGGGCAGACCACAGGGTGAAGGGGTTGCTACCTGCACACGCAGCCTCACTGCATCACTCTTTCTTCCACTACTAAGTTACTGAAAACTTAGAAAACGATACTCAAGAACTGTGCCCAGTGACACGTTTTGGGAAGATGTGAGACCATTCCTTTTAAAGCCTTACGTACATTGGTACATTGCACGTCCCCTTCCCAGAGATTCCCTGTCGTGGAGTCTCCAGAGGCTCAGGCAGTGGAGTGAAACCACCGCGTCAGAGCGTACATTTCCCTTCCATCCTCTCATCCGATATTCAGAACTGCACCGTACAATAGGCAGCAGTAAACCCACTTCACAGATGAAAACATTTAAACGTCAGCGAGAGCTCGAGTTGGATTCCAATCTGGTCCATCTCTGTCCAAAGCCAGAGTGTTTTGTCTGGTTCATGTGAGGGAATCTTTTAGGGTTCTCACCCTTGTCCAGGATGTCATGTTCTGGAAAACAGAATCTTAATACACACAAATGGTACCACCCTGGACTCTACCCAAACCTATCCAACTCTCTGTACTGCCTCTCAGGGGCATACATTTCATCTTCTATAATGTTGTTCTTAAAATACAATGCCCCTTCCATCATTCCCGATTTCTTAACTCTGTGGAAGGGTGCTACCTCTGAAAATAATAAGGGCAGCACCTTTATTGCCTGCTATGTAAACCTTTTATATTAAATTTATCTTAAGCTGGTTTTAATATGTCAAAGCTTTCTGAGCAGGCCTGGGCTAACCCAACCATAACACTCCTGGAACGTTACCATATTTTCAGCCATCCTTGTAAACATCGTGGCCTTTTCCTTGGTACCCTAGGCTTAGATGTTCCCCAGATTTGCACAACCTGCAGAACCTCTTGTTTGGAACAGAGTTATTGAAGTGTGATTGTAAATCATATATGTAATATATGTAATAATGTAATACCATAAAATTCATATATGTAATCATATGTGTAATATATGTAATAATGTAATACCATAAAATTCATATATGTAATAATGTAATACCATAAAATTCACTCAGTTTGATGAGTTTTACTAAACTTATACGGGTGTAAACCACCATCACAATCCAGTTTTAGAACACTTCTTTCACCCCAGAAGGTTCTCTAGTGCAGAAGATCTTCATTTCCACCCTACTCCAGGGAACCACGAATCTGTTTTCCATCACTGTAATTTTGCCTTTTGTCAGAATTCCATGGAACTGGGATCACAGCATGAAGTCTTATGCGTCTGACTTCTTTCCCTCAGCATAATGTGTTTGAGGTTCGCCCATGTTGTAGCGTGATCAGAAATTTCTTCCTTTTTTCTGCTGAGGAGCATTCCATGTATGGACAACCATTTGTCAGTTATGGGCATTTGGATTGTTTCCAGTTCGGGGCTCTTATGAATAACGCTGACCTGAACATCCATGCACAACTCTTCATGTGGTCAACTGTTTTCCTTTCCCTTGGGTAGGCACCTAGGGGTAGAATTGTTTAGTCACATGATAAATGTATGTCCAACTTTTTAAGAAACTGCTAAACAATTTCAGAAGATCTTGTCTGAGGCAAGGAAGGGCTGAAGAAGGGACAGAGTCGCCCTGGGTGGAGCCCTGTGACACTGGAGTTTGTGCCCTCTGTCTCTTTATCCTGCTCTGTGTCAGGCTACTCAGTGTCTCTCTCTTTTTATCTGTCAGCCAGTCCATTGTTATTTCTCAGCAAATCCAGTTTATTCAGAATGAAATTGTTTCGTGTTCATCCGAGTTTGGGTTTTTTTCATTGTTTCCCCAACAAGCGATAGGTCTTCTGTCAGATGACACACATAGGAAATGATCTTGTGTGGTCTTTGTTTCTTGCCTTATGAGCATAAAAAAAAAAAAAAGTCATTTCCTGAAATCACTTTTTCAGTCAGTGCTCTGAGGGAGTCTGTGGCAGAAGAGACGGCTCGGGTGGCCTAGTAGCTCGTGGGCTGTGAGGAAAGTCCAGTCGGTGTCCAGATACGGGCTGAGGCAGTTCTGGGTTAAGCCCAGCCTCTGCTCTTGGTCTGACTGAACACGTTCCCAGATTGTCCCCTGCCCTTCAGCCTTCGGGTCCTGAGGTTTGCTAACTAGACACCCTGCAGCCCTCTGTTGTCTATAAAAGCCCAGGGAAGATTCTCAACTGATTCCTCAGCAGACGGCTGCTCTGTACCCCCAGGGGTTTTCCACATGTGAGGAACCCCCCAGAAGCACAGGCCTCTGAGCCCTCAGGCCAGCAGCACTGTCCCACCCCACCCCCACCCCGGTGAAACAGGACAGGCTGGGGGCAGAAACGCAGGTGCGTGCGCCCGCGCCATCACTCACCATCGACATGTTCTCAAGGAAGTGATTCGCTTATTAAGCCCCCATTTCCTCACCTCCTAAGTGGGGTCCCCACTTGTGGAGTTTTTACATCAAAGGCAATAATCATAAAAGCGCCTCATAGGGCACTTGCCATGGAGCAGGGGCTTCCTGAAGGCTAATTGCGTTCTTTCCCATCACGTTCCTCCACAGAAGCAGGTAACCGATCATCTGGAAACCTGAGGGATGGGCAGGGAAGAAAAGCCACCAGGAGACGCCATCCTTTCCCTGGAGCTCCTTGTGTTCAGTTCAACAGCTTGGCTCTTCTGACCGGGCGCCATGCTTGGCTGAAGGACGCAAGGCCAAGGAGACAGTCTAGTATCAAACATGGACCCAGACCAGAAAAGAAGGGGGAGGCTCCACAGAAAGGGTGAAGGTGCTTCATCCGTCAGGACCCTCTAGCACTAGCCTGGCCTTGCTGGGAGCAGCCTGTGCCTACAGAAAACACTTGAAATCCAGCATGGACTTCAGAAACCTCAGTGTAGACCTCAGGGTCCTCCACTTCCTTAAGGCCTCTGTTCACCTGTTCTCAAAACTTAAGCAACTTTCTGGTGCCAACACCTTGAATTCCTAATCCGAAGGGCATTTCCCATCACTGCATGCCGCGCTGGTCGTGGTCTGTTGCTACACATCAAACTGCTTCAATACATTTGCATAAGTGGCATAAAAAACTATTTTGTGATGTACATGATTCCATGGATCAGGAATTGGGACAGACACAACAGGACGGCTTGTCTCTTCCATGACATCTGCGACCTCTGCTGGGTCCTGGAATCGTCTGGAGGTTCCTTCACTCCAGACGGCACTTGGGCTGGGATGTCTGAAGGCTGAGCTCAGCTAGGATTGTCAACCAAAGCTTCCATACATGGCCTTCTCTATGCCTTCAGTAGCCAGGTTCCAAGAGGGCATGTTCCAGGAGGGAATTCTAGAGCGTCCTTTTTGTGGATTTACGTCCATCCCACTAAAGTCTGAGAAGCCGGTGAGCATGAATTGAATCCCTTCACCCTTGGTCCGAGGTCCCGTTGGCAGAGCACTGTGCTTGCTCCAGAGTGGGTATGTTTAGCCTGTGTTAATGAGTTGGGTTCTTTTGTCTCTTTTGCAGATTACTGGCCTTTAGGGGTCCCACCAGGTATTCACGAAAGGGGAATTGTGACTCTGAACATAGACTAGAAATACACTGTGTGACCCTC